AACACTGCTGCGAAAACCACTCAAATTTGCATAAGTTATTGCAGAAATATCAGGTAAAATGCGATTTCAGAGCAAAATTCACTAAGTCAAAGTTCGTGTCATCAATGGGCTGCTGCTCATGCAAAAATGGCAATTATTTCCTAGAACTCATTTTTAACTATTCACTTTACTTTTTGCATATTCCACAAATTCGTCAATCAAAACAGGCCATGCGCCTTCCGAATCGTAATTACTAAAATCCGGATGGATTGTGAGGGAGAAATCGAGCAACAGATTCCATGTATCTCGTGATATGCCTTTCACACCCTGCAATTCACTTCACACTCAAATACTTTAAAATGCCATTTTTCCAATGCGGATCACAATTTTCCACTTTTCTCGATGACTTTCACGCATCCAGGGGAGCTCGCATGAGAAAAATGATAAAAAAAATTAAAAACGAAAAATTATATATATATATATATATATATAAACAATCTGTTTTTAAAACGCATTAGTTCCTTATGCCACTTCTAACAGAAAAAACCATAAATCATTATTTGACATATTATGTGACAAAATCAGCAAATGTTGACTGTGAAGAAGGGCGGCTGGGAATAAATTTTTAAAATTGCTTGGTTACTGTCCTGATTGGGACGGGAAAAAATTTATTCTCACCACACCAATGCTGTTTTACCCTTTGGTCAAATTGCTGGCGATTCTAACCATTTTATTTGTAGCTAACGTGTTTGCTTTTATTTTTTTTTTAATTACTCACACCTTATTTCGCCCTCAAGCACGGCTTTAAAATTCCAGCTAAATTGGAATTAAAATAAAAAAGAGCAACGGGAAAGATGAAAATGGTAGAAGGGGGATAAGAAGAAAAATTAGCGAATATTCCGTCACAGGGAAAAGTAATAGTTCAATTTTAAAAGTTCCACAGAGTACCTTATGTCTGTGTTATCCTAGCCTGGAAATCGGCATTTTTTTTAAAAATATGCTATATTTTTTAGTTTCCTCTGTAAGCTAGTATTTTTTTTCCTTTTATTTTCCTAACACTACGAACACTTTCCCGTCCCGATCAGGACAATAATCAAGCACTTTTAAAAATTTATTCCCAACTATCTCTCTTCACAGTTAACATTTGCTGATTTTATCACACAATATGTCAAATAATGATTTATGGGTCTTTCTGTTAGAAATGGCATAAGGAACAACCGTGTCACAACGATGCAATACTCCGGTCCCTTACTGAACCTCTGGATACCCTACCCCATTAAAGTTTCGCAATCTTAGTAATCTCTGACCCCTGGGGTATAACTTCACCTCATCTCCGAGATCCTGAGCTACTTCAAAGCTATTCCTTACGGCTCCCCAGAACCTCGCTACCTCTTTTCTATGTTATCTCTATTACGCGTTGTGTTGTGTAACTATAGTTTTGCATATAATCATAAATATATATAACTAAGAATTTCGATACACACTCATATGCACACACTGGACATGCCACTAGTCTAGTTTATTAATTTTTAGGGTCGCGCTAATTTCTACTTCAGCCAGTGATCAAATTTTGCATCTGAGGATCAATTCTTTGTAAATACACTGGGAATAAATAAGCTGGTCATGGCTTTTCAGTTCCAACAAACAACAACAGTGACAATTACAGAAATACCTCATTCGAAAAATGTAATTCCGCCCATCATTGAAAACTCGAGATTTTGCAGTGCGAAGAAAAATGCAAACCTGTTTTTGATGAAAACAAAACTGCAGTGCAAACCTTTTCCCGAAGAAACTCAGTCCACAGCCCGAGGTAGCCAAAGCTGCCACCGAACACAAGCTCCCAGTAAGCGATCGCAATCTCCACATCTAAACAAAACAGGAAACGATCATTATTCAAGCGTTGAAATAAATTAAGCTTTTTTAAAAAATCTAAAATTCTACGATTTATAATTTTCGAAACGTGATATTCAGGAAAATAACTGTCACTCACCCAACGTTCTTTGCGATGAGACACGCGCGTAATTAAATGTGAACTGATAAAAATCTC